GCCCAGGGGACCTCCACACATGGTGCACAAGCGTACATTCAGGTAGGATGACCAGATACATAAAACAAAATGAATAAATCTTAAAAATATGAAGATAATCTGATTTGTGTATTCTGATGAAATTGATCAAGATAGTGTTTGTCCTCGGGATTTCTGGGGGCTGGTGTTGCTTTCCGGCCTGCGTTCAGCCTAGGTGCTGAGCGCACAACTCTGATTTACACTAATTCATGGATTGGGATATGCGCTTATCTGCAGGGCTGCTTCCATCCAGTAACTGAGTCCTCTTCCCCGCCATATAGCCCTCTTTCTGGCATTCTCTTGCCCATAGAATGCCTCCACCTTCAACACTTAACTGTCCAAATCTGAAGGTTGGAGGCTACCTCTCCATCCCTCTCTCCCTGCCGCTCCCACCCCATCCATCCCCAAGCCCCGTAACCCTGCCTCTGATGATCCTCCAAATCATTCTTTCTACCCCACTTAGCCCAGACCACACTATCTTCTTCCTTGAACCACTGCAGTGGCCTCTAGCCTTCAGGCTTGAGAACTGTTCACAGAACAGTCAGGATGCTTCCAGAGTGAAACACCCACCTTGTCCCCCTCCTGGTTAAAACTTGTTGCTTTGTTGTTGTTTTCTGAGACAGGGATTCTCCGTGTAGCCCTGACTGACCTGGAACTCATTTTGTAGACCAGACTAGCCTCAACTCACAGAGATCTACCTGCCTCTGCCTCCCTAAGTGCTGGAGATGAAGACATGCACCTCTACACCCTGCCCTGGTTAAAACTTTACTGGTTCCCTGCAGCCTATGGATTAAGTGTATTCCATTTCCAGAACTGAGTTCTAAGTCTCTGCCTCCACCTCTGGCCCCATTTTAGGGCCTCCCCACCACTGACCCCCATCCTATGCTCCAGGCTGCTCCACGAGCGTTTGCACAGCCTTTTCCATCAGTGGTTCCAGGGGCAAGCACTCTTTCCCCTTATCCCTGTTTTTATAGATCAAACCCAACACTTCCTCCTGGGCTTGGTTCAGATGCCTTTCTACCTATAAAGGGTGTGGCCACTCTGTAGGCATGCACAAGCCTCCCCCCATCACTCTCCACACCAAAGTGAAACTGGTCCCCAAAGTGCAAACTCCCCGGGAAGAAAGTTGGGTCCCGTGAAGGGGGCATCACATCTGTCTTGAAGACCTCAAGACCATCAGCACTCAAGACAGAGATACAGTGTAGGGGCTCTGCAGAGCCTGCTTGGATGAGACTCTGGAAAGATGTGTAAATTGCTTTTTGACTTGAAAGTAAGAAACAAGAAAAGAGGAGCCATTGTCCAAACAAGATAGGTGGACAGAGGGAAAACTGGAAACCGAAAAGCAATATAAGACAGGGTTATGGGAACCACCTGTCACTGCAGGAGGCCATCTTCCAACCTCCCAAAGATTCTGACATGACTTTTTTCATTATGACCACTAGATGGCGCCAGATCCCCAGGCAAGGAAGAAAGCAAGCCGCCTACACACCTGGCTTCATCCTCCGCCTCCCACCCCCCCACCCGAATCCAGGTGGAGCGGTGGCTCTACCTGGTTTTCTGTGAACAGTGCCTGTTCTGCCCAAGAAACAGACCCATCCACGGGCATCTCTTCCCCATACCAGAGACAGTGTGTGTACCAGACCTTGACTGGGACACCAACCAGTGCCCCTCCTCACTCCTGCCAGCCTGCCTGAGTTCTATCACCTGTCGGTTTGCTTCGCCCCTCCTTCAGAAGCAGGACTGTAGCTAGCTGACACTTGCTCTTCTCGCTGGACCAGATGAGGTCCAGTGGGTCACACCGGTCCTACGGCATGGCATCCTCTGGCTACTTCTCCACCCAGCTATGACCCAGCTGTCAGTGGCTCCCTTCCTGCCGGCCTGGGGGACCCCTCAGGGACAACTCAATACTCATTTATTTCGAGGATGACAGCATGCCTCAGTCTCAGCACTAGAGGGATTTAGCTCTTCTTATTTAGCCACTCAGCAAACATTCCCCAAAGACTGTCTTAGGTATCTGAAGGATAATGGAGAAGGGGGTGGGCAGTCCCCAGCATGCCGTGCAAAAGGGAACAGGGTGTTACCCATACACCATCAAACAAGTATTTAAATAATGTTTCTGCTGGAGAGATGGTTCAGTGGTTAAGAGCACTGGCTGCCCATTCCCAATGGATCTGGGTTCAATTCCCAGCACTCACACCGTGGTTTACAATTGTCCAGTTCCGGAGGATCCAACACCCTCACGCTCACATACATGCAAACAAAAAACTAATGTACATAAAATTTAAAATAAGTTATAAAAAAGTATTTAAAAAATAATGCTGAGCCAGGTGGTGGCTCACGCCTTTAATCCCAGCTCTTGGGAGGCAGAGGCAGGTAGATTTCTGTGAGTTCAAAGGCCAGCCTGGTCCACAGAGTGAGTTCCAGGACAGTCAAGGCTACACTGAGAAACCCTGTTCCTCCTCTTCTTCCTCCTCCTCTTTCCCCGCCAGACAGGATCTCTCTGTACAACCCGGAAGTCCTGGAACTCTTTACACCAGGCTGGCCTTGAACTCACAGAGATTCAGCAGACTCTGCTAGTGTTAAAGGCGTGCACCACCACACCCGGCCTTAAATGCCTCTTGCCGCTGCTGATGTTGTGATTTCAGTCCATTTCTAGAATACAACAGACCTTAGAAATTACCCTAAAATAACTCACTACAACCCCAAGGCTCCTGTGCTCACTCACATTTTGCTCAGGAGCCAGGCCCAGATGGGGTGAGGAGAGATTAGGGCGTCTTTGAATCACCTGTCACCCCCAAATGAATGAACGAACCCACGAGACAGGGTTTGTCCGACGCTGTCCCTTCCCTGTGGGCAGCTGGGGGCTCCAAAGCAGGCCCTGCCCGCCGCCCCCGCTCTCATCCTGGGAGGGGAACCGGCAGCCCAGTGCCCTTCCTGCCCTCAACGCCCCGGGCTCCTTGGGCGCCCTCTTGGCAGAAGAACAGAGGGCATCCAGAGCGGGTGGCAACTCGCCCCGCCACGAGCTCGCAGCGGCGGGCGATAGGAGCTGGGGGGACGCTCAGATAGACAGACAGATAGCGCTCCCCTCGCCCGCCCCCGCCCCCACCTTTCCCACGCGGCGGCCTCCCGGGGCGGCCCAGGCCAGGCGGTCACCTCCTCCTGTCCCTGCGCCCGGACCTAGGCCCTCTGCTCCTCCAAGCCGAGGTTTTTCCAGGCTCGGCATCCTGTGATAGGGTCTGGCGTTGGAAAGCCCCACCAAGCCCCCTACACACTCTATACAGAATGAGACCCCTTTGCTCTCTGCGAACTGGTTCCACTGCGTCTTTAAGACAGACTGCAGAATCCAGAAGCAACCACGAGGTGGCGTGCTGGCACTGTGTGTCCTCGACATGATGCGTCCTGGTTAGCAAAGCAAGGGGAGAGACAATGCCAGGTTAAGGAAGGTGGGGTTGGGTGGCGATGGGGGAGGGCGGGGGTGTTAAGAATTGAAATTGGGGAAAGCCCTCTTTCTCTCTAGGATTAGGTTGGGGAGCAGAAGTGGGATGCAGTAGAGAAGTGGGTTTGGCACCCGGAACAGTAACTCTTTCCTGGGAACCGGCTTTGAGAGCCAGACAGCGTTAGGAGATGGGGGTTGGAGATTGCCCCAGCGCTAGAAGCCGCTTCATCAGGGTCTTCGTGGAGGGAAGAACCCGAGTGGCGTGACTTGGCTCTCAACTGTTGGAGCTAGATGGATGTGAGCGATCTATGCACACTCTGACCGAGGTAGTTCACAATCCTACACCCCATTGCTTTACACTACACACACAGACACACTCTTTCACGGGCACTCTTGCACGCATGGCAGACCTTTGGGATTCTGTGGAACATATAAAATCCTCTATCCTTAACCCCTAACGAAGTCGGCCCTCCCAAGGGCTTTCCCATACTGTGTGGAACCTGCCCCCAGACCAACTTAAGTCCACAGAAAGCCAACCTCCTAGGGACTACTGCCTCACAGCTCTCTCGGCTCTACCTGGTCCATGTGTGAAACTGCACACTTACAGTCTGGGGTACCTCCATTCTCTAGAGCAGCCCCAAAATCCATACAATACAGTCTCGCTCCAGTGGAAACTCTCAAGTTCAACGTAGGACTTTTGCAGGCCAGAATGCTTCTGCTGGGCGAGACTCTTCTTTTATAATTTTAAAAATTACGTTTCATGACTGCAATGTCATAAAGATAATATATTAATGTGCTCAAACTTTTTTTCCAACATGGATGTTCTTTTCCATTTTTTTTTCGGATTTTAAAAGCGATCAAAATATTTTCGTGGACCCTGGGTCTTTGCCACTTTATCTGTCTGTCATTTGCATAGTACACACATACATCACTAAGGACCACCTCCTTTCACAAATACCCAATGGACAAGTTCCCCTCCTTCCTCATCTCACCTAAGCCCACCCCTAGCCACGAAAACAGAGGGGTTGATCCTGGGGGCTCTGCACCACCAACCCCTCCACACATCCTCCCCCCCCCCCGCCCTCTTCGGAGGATTTTTCTGGGCTTGAGCGCAGTGGTGGCGGCGGTGGTCTGTGTGTGTGTGTGTGTGTGTGTGTGTGTGTGTGCATTTGGGGTAACAACAAAGAGGGTTGGGGGAGCCAGTGAGAAAGCGCGAGCATGTTTTGCCTCGAAGGCAAGACTTGCAGCCAATCAGCGCGCAGGAGCCTCCCTCTGCACTCCAACATTGAGTCTATAACCGGCTGGCCGGGCGGAGCTGGCAGCATTTGACTGTGGCTTGGGACGCGGAGAGAGGCACGCAGCGACTGACCGACAGCCGGCAATGGTCTAAGCGCCCTTCGGCCACCCCCTCCCCCAGACGCGACCAGGCCCTGCCCTCGCCCTCTGGACACACATCCCACCTGGGCTCCTCCGCCTACCCGGCATTACTGTCCGCCCGCTTCCGCGCTCGGAGGAGGAGGCCTGGGGAGCTGCGACGCCCGCCAGCATGAGCGGCTCCTTCGATCGCAAGCTCAGCAGCATCCTCACCGACATCTCCAGCTCGCTCAGCTGCCATGCGGGCTCCAAGGACTCGCCTACCCTGCCCGAGTCTTCAGTCACTGACCTGGGCTATTACAGCGCTCCCCAACATGACTACTACTCGGGCCAGCCCTACGGTCAGACGGTGAACCCCTACACCTACCACCACCAGTTCAATCTCAATGGGCTCGCTGGCACCGGCGCTTATTCGCCAAAGTCGGAATATACCTACGGGGGCTCCTACAGGCAGTATGGAGCGTACCGGGAGCAGCCGCTGCCTGCCCAGGACCCAGGTGAGGACGCTGGGGTTGTGGAGAGGGTGTGAGACGCTGGAAGGTGCCCAAGCAAGAAGTCTGGGGATGGGAGCTGAAATCTAGGGAAGCCCCGAGGGTAAGAATTAGAAGAGTTTGAAGGAGATGTGTTAGATGACCCCCAGAGAGGATAGGCGACACTATGTGCGGCATTGTGCGCCGGGGTCTCCTGGAGATTCCGGGGAAGTTGGGGACACAGAGAGCGCGTTCTGGGTGATGGGGGAAAGCTTCGACGCTGCTGTCCTGCGGGCACTTGAGCCGGCAGCCCGCGATGGCTTGAGAGCTCGAGGGGAGTCGGCTCCGGGGACCCTTCCTCTGGATGCCGTCTCCGGAGACCCCGAGTAGCGAGTAGCGAAGGGCACGTGGAGAAAGACCCAAAGAAGTCACAGAAATGGAGGGAGGAGAGACTGAGAAGTAGAGAGAGGTGGGGATAGAGAGAAACAAATGTGGGGAGGACAGTAAAGAAAAGTACGGAAGAAAGCAGAAGGAAGCGAGAAAGGGAAGGAAAAAAGAAAGAAGAGAATGGAAGTCCGGAGGGGGAGGAAGAAAAAGAAAACAGAGAAAGGAAAAATTGAGAGAATGCCTGCACGATCCTTGCATTTTTTTCTGAAGCAAGTTATCCTCAATTAGGAAGCTTATTAAAAGGGAATGGGCAGACTGGAAGGAGTGGGAGACGCCAAGGCCGGTTAAGTGGGTCACTAGAGGACGGTCCGCAGACGAGAAGCTGAGCCGGGAATGCGTTCTGAGTGAAGTCGCGCGGTTCTCAACCCAGTCGCTTGCTGGCGCCGGAGCCGCCGCTCCGGGGCCGGGGTGCGGAGCTGGGAGCGCCGAGTCGTGGGCGGCCGCCGGTCCGGCTGGGTCGCGGCGGTTCCCTCCCTGGGCGAGGGCGGCACAACGCTCCTCCAAAGAAGTCCCGGGGAGATCAGTGGGCCGGAGGGTGCGGCGTTCGACAGAGGGGGATCTTGGAGAGTGCGGGGTCGCAGGCCGAGGCTAAGCTCGTGCATTCCTCCTTGCAGTGTCGGTGAAAGAGGAGCCGGAAGCCGAGGTACGCATGGTGAACGGCAAACCCAAGAAGGTCCGAAAGCCGCGCACCATCTACTCCAGCTATCAGCTGGCTGCCCTGCAGCGCCGTTTCCAGAAAGCCCAGTATCTGGCCTTGCCCGAGCGCGCCGAGCTAGCTGCACAGCTGGGCCTCACACAAACACAGGTTAGTACCGAAAGCTCAAGAGTCCCTGGGGGCAGATGGGAGCGTGAGCGACCGGGGTACCTATGAGCCTGACTGGGCCTTTAAGTACCCCCAACCCCTGCCCCTCAGCAGATTGCAGCGACTCTTGCCTGTGGGTTGAGCGAATCAAAAAGTCTCAGCGTTTGTTGAAAGGTTTACAGTAACGAGTGTAGACGGGTGCAGTGTGCATCCATGTGAACTTATGCAACTGTGTATGTCTGTCACAGAGAGATGTCCCCCCCTGCACCCCAGAACTCCCAGCTCCCAAGGCCTTCAGCAATATTACAGGACACAGGAGTTTTCTCTCTCCCAGACGAAGTGTGTGTGTGTGGGGGGGGCAGACAGGCGATGTGCCAGAAAAATGTAAGGAGGGAGGGAGGTCCTTTAAGGGTCATTTTGCAAACAGAAGGCAAGTATCTGTGCTGGAGCACCAGTTAGAGCATACACCAAAATGTACGCTTGTGTAAAAACATGGTCTTGCTTTGTACCCAAATGCCTCTGCCCAAAGTCAGGCCCGAGAGGTTCCCCCGAACAAAAGGACATAGAGTCAGAAAGTGGGAGACTTTCGCCAACCCTTTACCCGTTCCCTAAACACCAAGAAGTCTCATTGCTCTGGGGAGGAATGTTGGGTGCCTGGCTCTCTACAGGTGTTGACAGGCTGGCCTTGGTTGCGGCTGGGCTGCGTGGGGCCTGGTCCATCGGGGATCTGGGTCACCTGGGGAAGAGCTGATTCATTGTTTGTGCCAGTCATGGGGTGGAGAGAGGCAGGCGGAGGGGGAGATATCCCAGGGGAAATTTAGGGACTCAGGTTCACCTGCTCCCGAGTCCCTGGGTCACCCCCAAGACCCAACCAGAGCCCCCCCCCCCCAGAACCCTGTGTGTGAATGGGGGGTGTTCATGTTGTGGGTTCTTATCTGGGTGTATATGCCTGCATTTATAGCTTTACCGTCTGGTAGCTGTGCGAGGCTGTGAGTGGGTATGTCGCTGAGTATGGAGATGCCTGTGTGGGTGTGTGTTTGTCGCTGTGTATCTGTGAACCTCGGCTTAGGGCTCTGATGTGGGCAAAATACCACAAACTGCCCAGATCTCACTAGGGTGCCTTTTTTATTGAGGGTTTGCGGTATAGTAGACCATTTCAGTATTTAAGTGTCTTAACTTTCTTGAGCCTTACAGTGACCTTTTGAGATAGGTGATAGTGTTGTCAAGGTCCCCATTTTGCAATGAGAGGAAGGTGAGGCCAGAGAGGTTAAGTAACCTGCTTAAGGTCGCACTTCGGAAGTGGCAGACGGGACCAGTAGAATGTTCCAAGCCGCAGTTTTTTTCCAACTGGAAAGAAAGACGCTGGCTTGGGAGTGGAGGCCCTGGAGTTTTTGCCTAGTTTCCCCTAGAGGCTGGGTACTGGGCTCCCTGTGGGGTTTCCTTTTGGCATCCCAGAGAGGCTAACTACTTGCTCTTTTCTTATTCTGTCCAGGTGAAAATCTGGTTCCAGAACCGCCGCTCCAAGTTCAAAAAGCTCTACAAGAACGGGGAAGTGCCGCTGGAGCACAGCCCCAACAACAGCGACTCCATGGCCTGCAACTCTCCGCCGTCACCCGCTCTCTGGGACACGTCTTCCCATTCCACTCCAGCCCCTACCCGCAACCAGCTGCCCCCACCGCTCCCGTACAGTGCCTCCCCCAACTACCTGGACGACCCCACCAACTCCTGGTACCATGCACAGAACCTCAGCGGACCCCACTTACAGCAACAGCCACCTCAGCCGGCTACCCTGCACCATGCCTCCCCGGGGCCCCCACCTAACCCTGGGGCTGTGTACTGAGCACCCACCTGGCCTGCGCCCCGCCCCCACGAAGGACCCCCCAGGACCAGGCAGAAGGTGCCCTATCCTAGCGACACTCAGGAATCATCCAGGGGCACAGGGGAAAGACTCCCTTCCCCCTCCCTTGTCCCTTCCAGGGACCCAAGAACCTCCAGATGAGATATGCGTGGACCAAGGATGCCCCCCTAAACCAACCTCCTTCCTCCTGCTTAGACTGGGGTGCCCTCCAGATATCGAGGCATTTAGCTCCGGTGGAGACAGCACGCGCGCTCTCTGCTCCAGGAACCGGCGTGGTCTTCCAGCCTCTCCGACACAGTAGAGAACTCCGAAAGGGGGAAGAGTCGGAGTATCTGCAGATCCCGCCTGCTCTGGGGTACCAGGGACCATGGATTCCAGCACTGCCAGACCTAAGTCATCCGGGCAACCAAGCCACTCTTGAGCCACTCTTTGAAAGACATTGGACACTGCATCATGGCTGATCCTCAAGGTGGGGGCCTGACCTAGCCCTCATTTAAGATTTGAGGGTTAAACCAAAGAAAACTCCCCCCAATGAGGAAACCTTTTAATGTCCAGGGAAGAGTTAAAGGAGCCTTCTCTCCACCCCTTCCCTGGGGAGAAGGGCCACCCGTGTGTGTTTTTCCTAAGGACCCCATTTCTTCTTCCATGTACAGGACTTTGCACAACTCTGGTTTTAAAAGCTGTTGAAGCATAGGACAACAAAGGGCATTGTTAACAGTTAGGACCAAATCCCACTCATCTCACAGGGCGGGCAGTTCTGCTCTGTCCCCCACCCCTACCCCTGTCACCCCTTCCTTTTCTCCCAGTAAGCTGGCAGTCTGGGGGGTCAAACCCCAACTCTCTGCAGAGATACACCAGGCAAGACAAATCCCCAAACACTCCCTTCACCGCAGCTTTGGAAAGGGATCGCTTCCCCTCAGCTGCAGGATGCAAGAGAGGAGTCGCAGACAGAGGAAGCCTAAGACTCAGTGCCTTAGGGGTGAGGCTGGCTGCTCAGAGGGCTGGTACCAGTAGTGCCTCTCCCTGGCCCAGGCGTCCCCCCAAAGCTAACTTTCTTCTGCCCCTGATGTGGTAAGACATCGAAGAAAAGGAGAGGTAAAAGACTGTAGTTATATATATAGTGTGTGTTTTTTTTGTTGTTGTTTTTTTTTAAAAGAGCAACCAAGAGAAGCAGCCTCCTCCCTTGTGGTTTCCTATTTATGTGACCCTGTTCCTCCTGGACCAATCTCCCTGTGTGTTGCAAACCGAAAGAGGGATGTGGGCTCCTACTGGATTTGGGTTTTGTGGGAGGTACAGGAGTAAGGAGAGATGTGGTGGGTCTCCGAGTCCCACCCCAAGGGGACAGGAGTGAAGCCAGCTCCCACCCCTCCCCAGCCTTCTCATTTCTGCTTTCTTACTGGACCAGTCTTTATATATAATGTTAATAAAATAAAAAAAAAAGAAGAAGAAGAAAATAACCACAGTGCTCTTTGAACTGGAGACTAGCGGCAGGCAGTTCTGAAGGGAGGACTGGAGTTGGGAGTTCTGTTAAGTGAAGAGGGCCCTCTGAGCTTCTAGGGGATGCTGAGATGGGGGGGCAGGTGCTCCTGACCCTGTGGCTACCCACATTGTGAGCAGGCCTGGGTGGAGGCTCCCAACCAAGGCCTCCCTGACTCCACTCTGCTTGCTGGCTTGGCGTTTTTCCATCAGCCAGCTGTCCTCTGCCACCACCACCGCTGTTGCCAGGTCACCTGGGGCTGCACTTTGATCTTGAGTTCACACATAGACATGCTTGCACATGCGTGTAAAACCCCCTGCCTCCACGCCCAGGCACTCCCAGCCCCTCACCCACCTGTCTATCCCTTTTAGCTCGGGTGACAGTGGGGCCAGCCAACAGGAGGTACTGATCCTAGAGCTGGTGGGACCTAAGACTGGGATTGGGAAGCTATGAGTTGGGGGAGGAGGGGTCTGTGTTTGCCTTCTTGGGGAGGGTGTGGTCCTGGCCCAGAATCTTCTAGATGCTGTCACTGACTGCATATGCTGGAAGTGCTGACCCCTGCTTCCAGATCCCAACTCCAAGGCTTCTGAGAGGAGAATGAGTATGTGAGCACCCGTGGGCGGGTGTGTGCGTGTGTGTGCGCGTGTGTGTGTGTGTGTGCGCGCGCGTGCACCAGGAGATGGCATAGATGCATGACCACACTATGAAGCTTTCTATCTGATAGACACATGATATCTCTTGTTACATGTACATGAAGTCCCACTAGAAAAATCATTACCCTTTGAGAAAAATGACATCCCTTACACACACACACACACACACACACCTGAGGCCGGTGAACATTACACTTACATAACAAACTAAAGAGAGCTAGGCCCCCCAATACACAAGTGCAGAACACACTCAGGTTCCCCTGTCACACACATACATGCACACACATGTGCACAGAAGCATTCTTGTTCAGAAAGCCAGGATACACTCAGCAGCCACTGTGACCCAACTCAGCCTGGAACTACTACCCGGTCTTAGTGCCCAGTCAGACAGAGACTCTGGGGGCCTATGGAGCCAGACACGGTAAAGATGAGAAGACAGAGCGTGGGCGCCACACAGAAGCTCTGTCCTCAGGACAGGACCTCAGCCCCTTCCTTGGCCTGTACCTCTCCAAGTAGGCCTCACCCATTCTGCAAGCCAGCCAGGGAAGAGGCCACGCCCATGTGACTGACTTGGACTGGCAAGGGTTAAGCTGGCAGCTGCCAGGCGGGGCTGCGCTGAGCTTTTGGTTTGAGGGCTGCGTGCAGGCAGGAGCAGCAAGGCGGCAGCCGGGCAGACTCGCTGGAGACACCGCATTTTATTAGGGCTGGGCTGCCAGCGAAGGGAGGGAGAGAGGAGAAAAGGGCAGAGAGAGGAAGGAAGGAGGGAGGCTGGGCGGGCGGGCAGGCGGTGACGGATGAAAGGGTGTTGTAAGGGCCTAATTCCTCCCAGCTCATCCCAGCTCTGTCAGGCTGGATTAACTGCCCAGGTGACCTCCCGCGGGGTCAGCCCCACCCCTGACCTCCCCTTCCTCCTTTCCTCACCTCCAGGCCCACCTCTAGGCCAGGGGTCAGCTTGCCCTTCACCCACACTGATGAGGAGCCCAGTAGGGACAAAAGCTTGGGGGAGGGACCTGGCAGCATGCCAAGGTGGGACTACAGAGCCCACCCTTCTTCCAGGTGCTGCCTGACTACACACATTGTCTCTGGGCAATCTACAGGGACGAAGGGGCAGGCTGGGGAACCCCAGTCTGCCTGAAGGCCGCTGCTGTCCAAGATCTTGATGTTATATAACAGGTGGCATTTGATAAACTACCTGGTGAACAACAATTGGGCAGATGAGTAGGATAGTGCCCATTTTTCAACTGGGAAAACTGAGGCTCCAGCTATAGTAGAGTTGATGCTTAGCATACATGAAGGCTTGGATTCAACACCTAGCACCACAAAAGAAAAGGAGGAGGGGAAGGAAAAAGAGAAGTCTGGGCATAGTGGTTCAGGTCTGTAATCCCAGACCTCTGGAGGTTGCAACAGGAGATTTGAGAATTTAGGTCAGCCTGGATTAAATATTAAATTTAAGGCCAGCCTGAGCAACACAGTGAATTCAAGGCTATCTTGGGCTACATAGTAAGAACCTGCTTCAAACAAACAAACAAACCAAGAGGGGTGGGGAGGGAGACAATGTGCCAGGCAGCATGGTGGCACACGCCTTTAATCCCAGCAGAGGCAGGCAGATCTCTGAGTTTGCAGCCAGCCTGGTCTACAGAACAAGTTCCAGGACAGCCAGGGCTGCACAAAGAAACCCTGTCTGGAAAACCTAGACCACAAGAGGGCAAAAATAAAAGTCGAGGCTGAAGAGCCTGTGGAGGTCACACAGCAAATCCAAGACAGAGCTGAGATTTGAACCCAGGTCTTCACAGAGAACGAGTTCTCTGGATGGACTTTTTCTGTCAGTCAATGGTACAGTGCTGGCAGAATCTAAAAGGTGACCCTAACTCCACCAAGCTGTCCCACGTGGTCAGCCCTCCACAGGCTTCTTCCCAGAGAGGTCTAAGGGGAGGGAGGGCCAGCCTTCCTCCTCTGGGCAAGCCCTAAGAAAAGCTTAACGTTGTGGTCAGGAACATGCGCTCTGGAGTCTTTTGGATCTGGTCTTCGTGACTTTACTGGCTGTGTGGCCCTGGCCAAGTCACTTAACCTTTCTGAACTCACCTGTAATATCGGGATGACCCTACCAACCAGCCGAGCTGTGGGGAAGATTAAGGGGATAATCTAAGTAAAATGCTTAACAAGGCACCCAGCCCTGGTGAAACCTGCTTAGTGAATGAATGGAAGCGGCTACTGGCAATCTGACTTGTCCTGTTCTCCATTCAGCCTTGGACCGAATCTCATTCATAACATTGGCTGACTGGCCATCTCTGCATTGCCACACTGGCTGATCCACCAACTCTGGGTGCTTGCAAAAAAAAAAAAAAAAAAAAAAAAAAAAAGGCCAGCCGCTGTTTCCTGAGCTGTGTGGCAGGCAAGGACAGCCACGGCCTGTGGAAGGACCTCAGACCCTGAGCTGAGACCTCCAGGACCAGAAGCAGATGAAACATTTTGAGACCCACAGTCAGCTGAGAAAGCTGGGGCAGATGGGAAGGAAGCTTTGAAGGGCTGCACCAGAGAGAGAAGGGGCAGTCTGAGCAGTGTCTGCAATGGTGGGCACAAGCCCTGTGAAGACATGGGCTTGCACAAGGCTCCCCTAACCCCACGGGACGGAAAGGAACAAGACCTAAGAGAGCAGCAGAAGACTGAATCCCGAGTGATGTCAGGCGAGAGCCCAGGAGGCAAGGGCCAGGCTCAGAAGATCCCGGATCCTTCCTGGATGCTGAGCTCATTAAAAGTGATGTTCTGACTGTTTCCATCCTCTCTGGTGGGCCAGTAGCTGCCCTCACACCTTGAACCTGGAGAAGGAAAGGCCCCGGCCCTCTGGGTGGAGG